TTTAAAGCCACCACAAGTGGTTTCTCCCACCAACAACAAGAACTCTAAACTTAAAGACTCTCTTAAATTAAAATAATACTAGGTATAGAATAGATAATCTTCTAGAAATCATTTCATGTTTCAACTCACACACAAGTATGTTATTACTGATAAACCTCGAGTTGACAAGTTTTTTCTTGTAATCTGACTCTTGAAAGTAATCACTCAACCACCGAGACGGCGTGCAAAAATGTATTCGTGGGAAAAAAAAAAAAAGAACAAAAAGGAGAAAATTAACCTCACTCCCATGTATTCTTTCCTTTACGTGGTCACTAATTCCTTTTCTATTTATAATTTGTCCAGTGTTTTCATGACAAGACAAATGACACCTTCGTTTTTGCTCAATAGGATTTCCATGAGATCTATACACATTACATTGTAAGAATCCAAAGAAGCTGAGAAGAGTGCTTAATTAAAAGGATAAAAAAGAGAGAAAATAAGAAACGACAACAAAGAGTTTTTCTGGTCATAGAACCTGAATGTCTAGCTTGGTTTGTTGGATTGATGGGTGGTGTGAAATTTCACCAACTCCTACTTCCATCTCTTCAGCTCGATAAGTTGAGTGAACACCATATAGAACATAAAACAAGGTTATAAAGAATGCCCATATACCAAACCTTTGGAAGGACATGGCCTTCAGTGTGGTCATGAGGAAGACATTGAGGAATATTGATGTTACGGCCGGCCATGGCATGAATGGCACTGACCACTCTTCATTAGGTTGGCAAACGGAAGGCACCATGTATTGAAAGAAAGCTGTGATTGCAATCATGAATCCACCAAGTACTGGTAAAGCCCACCATCGCTCGTCAAGTTTCCAGGACATAGAGAAGCCAATTGTAGTAGAAGAGAGAAGGACAAGGAACAAGAGGGTTTGTGAAGGAGGGTTGTGGCTAATGACAACATACCGACGATAGATGAGAGCATTAGCCACCATGTAGAACACCAAGAGTGTGCTGATGGAGATCATTTCAAGAATTATGCTGAGTTCGGTAAAGAGTGCAATTGAAGCTGTGCAAAGACCTAGAATATCATGAAAACAGTACAGAATATTCAGTATACTATTGGATCCCTGATCTTTCCCTTTTCTTAATTTCGTTGGATTAGCCTACGTTTTTTTCTCTATATGAATATAGCCTAGTTAAAATAGGGAGAGATACAGATGAAGAAGATTTATGAATTAAGAAAGTGGATTGGATCGACTTCAAGTCTGATTAAAATGGGAATATTTCACTCTTTAGTGCTAGCTATGACTCATAGGGGAAGCTAGCAGAAGGAATTACTTACCCAAGAAGAGCGTGGCATTCAAAGGGGTGCCTGTGGAGGGATTCACCTTGGCGAACCAAGAAGGCACAAGCCGGGCCCTTCCAATGACACAAAGGTATCTAGCTTGGCCTAACATTGCAACCAAGAGAGAAGCAACAATTCCCAAACTTGCTCCGGCCCCAACCACATTGCTTGCCCACTTCCACCCGATCTTTTCGAAAGCGACAGAAAATGATGCATCTTTTTCTATCTGCAAATGATTTGGAAGGATACCTAATTATTAGGATATTTATGCACTAAAAGAGGATTATGATGTCTGCAATTTTGACTAAAAACTTCAGTAAGAGATAGATTCATTACCATATTAAAAGGCACCAACAAGCATAAAGATAAGGCCATGAGGCAATATAGTCCGGTGACAATGAGAACAGAACCTAAAATGCCCACCGGAAGGCTTTTTGCAGGGTTTTGGATCTCTTCTGCCATGGTTGAAACCGAGTCGTAGCCAATATAGCTGAAGTAAACTATAGCTGCTCCATCAAGAACACCCTTGACACCGAAAGGAGCAAGCCCTCCTGGCTCAACCAAGTTCCTGGCACTCCCTTTGGAGAAACCAACAATTATAATGAATCCGAAGAAAATCACATGGAAGACTGTCATAGTAAGGTTCAATATGGAGCTTTTCTTTGTGCTGCAATCCCAAAAAAGAAAAATCCATCACTTTCAAAATCCCACTAACCACTTACTTCGGAAAAAAAATTTCAATCAGTACTATTAGTGATGGTTACAGAACCAATAGAAAAAAAAATAAAACATTACCTATACTAATTGTAACAAAAACAATATAATATTAATCCTGCCTAAAGCCCCTATATATATATATATATATATATATAATGGAAATGATTCATCATTCATATTAATCCAACTCTAAGACATAATTGTCTAGATCCACTAGCAAGTAGATGATAAGCGAAATGGCCACTTAAACCTTTCCGGCGAAAGATCTAGCTAGCGACATAAATTTACAAGCACCATGATTAATATATAAGAACATCAAACACTAGTCGATCACAAATAAATAAATAGATATGAAGCAAACAAAACAAAGGTAATAAGAGATCAAACCTATAGCAAAGACAGAGAGTAAGGAGAAGAATAAGAGCCACAGCTGGAAAATCCAACATATTGTAACCCTCTGCTACTCCATCCACTTCAATTCTCCATGAGCTTGGGTTCTCCCCCACAGCATGGCACAGATATTCTGTGAAACTTCTTGCAACCGCAGCATTCGATAATACATATTCCATTAGTATATTTGCCCCAGCAAAATAACCTATAAACTCTCCTGTGTCATATGAAAAATAAGAACCAAAATGACGTTAATACATTATATATAGATATATATATCGAGAAAAAGAAAGAAACAATTCTAACAACATCATTAAAATCCTAATGCCTGTCTATCAAGATTATTAATGGAGAAAGTAAGAAAGAGTTGTGCTGTGAATTATTGATACCAAAGGTCACTCTAAGATAGCTGAAGGCCCCCCCAGCAACGGGAATCTGAACAGAAAACTCAGTGTAACATAGAGAAGAAAAGAGGGCTGATATTCCAGCAATGATATATGAGATAAAAACTGAAGGGCCAGAGATTTTAAGGGCTACAGGGCCAGTGGTAACAAAAACTCCAACACCAAGCATCCCTCCTATACCAAGAGCTACCAAGTCATACCACTTGAGCTTCCTCATCATGTCTGCACCAGACCTTAGCCTAACTTGGTTAAGCTCCTGGTCAGGAGTCCATGTAGCTAGCATTCTTTTTCTAAGCCTGTGAGGGGTTTGAGAGAGGGACTTGAGATAGTTAGAGAAGGAAATGTTTGTGGGTGTGGATTGAACGGTTGCCATATTGCTAGCGAAAGAAGAAGAGAGTGTTTTTTGGCTTTCCATGAGAATTGCTTGGGGGTGAGGGTTTTAAAATATGAAGCTGAGGGAGGATATAATGCTAGATTCTTTCACTAATGTTGTTGGGGAGCCCAAATTGGTGCCCCTGCTGGCTTTATTGAAAATACCTAGTTGCCCATTGAGATAATGGGAAATGTCCAATATAGCCTTTCACAGCTTTTGAGTGCCCCAAGACCCCAAAGAGGCTGTTCAGCCATGGAAGCATGCAAGAAAAAAAAAGGTAGAAAAAGGCTCAGCCATTTTGAAAATGAGATTGTTAAGAGGAATCACAATGTGATCAGAAGGGCCTAGCTTTGACCTAATCTTTAAGAATTTCCTCATCTGAAACTTTGAAAAGATGTGGCTAAAGATCCCTTCACTGCATACCCATATATACTCTGTTAAAGCAGCTAAAGATCTCTTCACTGCTAGCTCTCAAGAACATTTGGGCTTGATTCCTCAACACAGAATGTCGCAGTTGCAGTGCCTGCCGTTAAAGTCAAACACGTGTGAGTGCAGCGTTGTCCTAGTCTACGATGCATTGATTTTTTCTTTGATTATTTTTACCCATATGCATGATTTTATGATACTTTAAAACAAGAGAGATAATATACTGCTGCTTTTTTATCCTTTCACGGATATTCGAGCTAGGACTCCAGTACTCAAGAACAAAACTCATACAGTTCTTGTAAAAGAAATGATTGTTTAAAATCTCTAAGGTTTGAGTATGATAATGGTTTTCCTTTGATATTTAAAAAATTATACTCGGGTCAGTAGAAATCTGGTGAAAAGACTAAAATATTTGTGCAAATCATATTATTTAAAATCATTTGTTTTATTCTCCATTTATCTCATCTTCTTCTTTCTCTACAAATCGATCAGGAGCGAAAAAAATCAACCATAAATTGATCAAATCCAGCAAGCCCATGCAACAAACACATCTTCTCTGCTAGATTTCTTGTTAAAATCTTTTCTTTTCTTTTCTGGTAGTAACGCATTGTTAGGCATGATGAAACCCTAACCCTAAACATCGATTTATAAAAATTGAGATGTTAAAATTCACACCAACTGCAAAATTGTTTTGTTAAATATTGATTATTTTGTATCCCAAACAAAACCCTTATCAAAATTCCTAAAAAACCCTAAAATTTTTAGATGAACCATCAATCCCAAAGGAAACGCTAAAAAACTTTTTATGTTAAATCATAATGATTTAGAATCCTAAACACTAATCATGATTTGTAAATGAATTTGTATTGTTGTCAAAACTCTAGAAAAAGCTCTAAATATTTTATTTGTAAGTTGTTATTTACTTGATGAATTCAAATCCTAAATTTCTAATAGTTAATCATCTTTGTTTAATCTTTTTCTTAGGTTATATAATGTCAAATTTTGTGATGCATCATGATAGTAACAATTAAGTTTAAGTAAATTATGGCTCTAACTATATATTATACATAGACCTATTGTTTATGTGAAAATAAGTGTTCAATATTAACTTTAAAGGATTTATAATTTAAAATGACATGGACAATGAAGTTTTTTATGATGTGTATATAAACTTCTAACGAACCTCTTTTTCAAACTTCTTTAGATTTATTATGTTAAGCTTTTTTTTTTTCCCTTGTTACTCTCACTAGGCCATGGGGATAATCTAATAAAATGAATTCTTTTATATTTGAAAGTTATTTGATAGAAAATGAAGACATCTATATCATATAGCCAAAGCCTATCTAAAATGAAATGCATTATATCTATCTATTGGAGTTACAACACATCAAATCTCATTATGGTAATCTATAAATTTGATAAAGAAAAGACATATCTCCTTGATTTAAATTGAAATGTTGTTAATCCATAAACATTGTAGGGTTTAAGGTGAGAGGTATAATTTAAATCTAAACGGGCTATATCATGATAAGATACTCCATTGATACAACTTACATTATCTATAATGATCTTCCAACTTTTATCGCTAAAATTAATTTATGTATAAAAAGTAACAATCATTATCTAATCTTTGATTCGTTTAGATTGTTTTATGGCACAATTAACTATACTTAATTTAGTTATCTTAAATCCTACCATGTTTTACTCCATCTAAGTACATATTGATTGCACACAACTTAGTATATATATTGGATCATTCTCATTCTTCTTATCTAAATCTTGAAAATGCATCGGATAAAATGTATACACTTGATGACCATAGTTGTCCTTTTCACATATATCCTCTTGCTTCTTAGTGAATAAGGTTTTATTGGTACAATTAGTTATGACATGACCAAAATCCAAATATCTAAAACACTAAATCCCTTAAATCATATTAGGTAATTTAGTGAGAATACATTTACCCTTTTTCTCTTTAGAAACCCAGGGAATATTAGGATTGGTATTACTAGATAAAACATTTAACAAAGAATTATTATTTTCAAATTGAAACTTCCTAGGGAAATACTAGGGGTCTTAATATTTCATCCATTGACTCTTCATGACCAACTCATTGTCTTACACTGAGATATAAGCTTGGTCAAGGGTAGACATATCTCAGAGTATAACCTCTCTTCTAATATCATTATCAAGCCTTTAAAAAACCTACATAGAGTCATTGCATCATCCTTTTTTACAACACATCTCATCTTATACTCATTGAACTATGCCACATATTCATTAATAAACTTATTTCCTTGCTTAAAGTTGTTTCATTGATTTAAAAGTATTCCTTTATAGGATCAATGTAAGTATTTCTCTTATAATTTCTATTTTATCTCCACATAATTAGTAATGTAGGGTCATGTCTTTTATCTAAATACTCTTTAATACTTTTTCAATAGAGTTAAGCGATTTTACTAAGGTTTATCTTTGTAAACCTAATTACTTTTTAATTCTTAGATAAGTGATATATGTTATGAATCCACCTAGTAAAAATTCATGGATCAAGACAATCATTAAAATCTAGGGCCTATGTTTTGATATGTTTTATGAACCGATCATCAAGGTCATCATAGATATCGTGGTGCTAATGATTATGGCTATGTTATGGTGTTTATTGTGAATTGGCATATGATGATATTGATAGTTATTGTTGGAATGTTTGTTATCATTAGATTGTCTTACTTGAAAAGTCTTTATGGACTTAACTCTTTTGGAAAGGTTAGTGATTTGATTAGAAAGGTCAGTCATTTGAGTGCACATGAGTTGTAATTGCTCTTCCTCTAAGGCAATTGCTAGGAGTTGGATTTATGGTAAGTGTGAACTAAGAGCTAGATACTAAAAGACCACTTTATAAATGTATACAATACTAGTCTAGGACTATGGGTGAAATCACAAATGATTCGTGTAAGTAAAATGCAATACAAAAATAAAGCTAATATTTAGTTATTTATTTGTTTCAAAGATAAATCAATAATAAAATACACTAGAAAGATCACAAGCATGCAATGTTTAACCTCTTAATATAAATGGGTAACCAAACACAATGTCATGATTTTCCACTAATCTCATAAAGCTTTATAATTAATAATTTTCCACTAATCTAAAAAAGCTTTGTAATTAATAAAAGACTATATGTTAAATATAAATGATGAAATAGGCTAATAAGAAAAGATAATATATAAAAATATAAGATGAGTTTTTTTTTTGTAATTTTATTGGCACAAAAGTAATATTAATGATAATTATAAATTACAAGTGCAAAATAAGAGCAGTAAAATTCAACAAGCTGGGAGGTTGAGTGATCTACCACCTTTATTATTTGACAATTATGTCATGTTAGTTGGATCATTGTTGTTGATGTAGGTAGAACCGCTGATGTAGTGTTGTATCGACTTACTTGTTTAGTGATATCATTTTTTTAATCAATATAGAGCAAAAAAATTACAACCAAATAAGAAAATGCTTTAATTATACGACAATAAGATCGTGAACTCCTATGTGTGATCAGGTATGGTTAGAGGTAGAACCTAGTGACATGAATTTGTTGTTATTGGAAGGAACTCGTGGCTACTGTGAATGAAATATCGGGATCATAGTTTTTAAACCTAACCCGCTATAATGATCAAGTCATGGGTCAGATGGGTTGACTTGGGTTGACTCGAGTCAACCCAAAAAAATCTCTCTCTAAAACTACACGACCTCTCTCTCTCTCTTCTAGTTTCTCATGCCTAACCACAGCACCTGCAACTCTCACATCCTCTATTATCTCACATCCATCAGGATGAGTCTTGCATCTATCTTCTCTTCTCTTCGTAAAAAACCTATCCTCTCAAAAGCAAGTAAGCCAAATATCTTATTTAATTTAAGGAGTGAATCACATAAGCTAGAAAGAATCTTCTTAATGCTTTCATGTCTAAATCCATACCTCTTAAGCTGTTGCAATAGCAAGCACATATAGTAAGTCTTTATTTGCTTGTTCAGGTAAATAGCATAAGTTAAGGAAGGGGTATTTATTTCAAGAGATAAATTTTTAGATTTTCTTCTCCAAAGGATTGTTTCCTTGAGATGCTAATAATCGAGGGTAGAGAATCCTTAGCCCAACTTCTTTATCTTAACTACTGATACTGTCAACACACTCTTTAGGTCAGGTCTCAGCCGGGTTTATCCTGATTGACTGGATTTCGAGTCGACCCGTCAGGTTGATCGAGTTTCGTAGGGCCAACTCCCTAGTAGGTTTTTACTTAGACCCGGACCGATCCCAAGCCCGAGTCTACTAGGTTCCAAGTCGACTCACCAGTCTAGTTCGGGTTTTAAAACTATGTTGAGGATTTTTTAGAATGATATACATTGGTGGATTTATAGCATGGTTTTTATGGATGTTGAACTGATTTTTTGGTGTTAATTAATCTGAATTTTTGTGTTGATAGGCTAGGTGATGTGGTTGTATTGACTTTGACTCCTAATTTGCTATATTAGCTGATGACAACTAATGGTATGGTTATGACTATTGTTCTAAATAAGAGTTGGTGGTTAGTTTGTGTCGTTACTAGAGCCTGAACCTAGTGGCATAGGCTTGTTGCTCATGGTGGTTGTTGAAGATCAATTGTCATGAATGATTTACATTAGCAGAC